GAGTGAATGATGGTGAAAGTTTTTCTTTTTCGGGCCACCCTGCCTTGGTGGGAATCGGCCGGTGTGATAATAAAAAAAAAAAAAAAAAATTAATCCGTGCAAGACACCCAAAAGTATGAAAAAAAAATTTTTTTACCACATGAAATGTTAATTTTAATACACACAAACTGAAAAAGGCATGCACACTTACATGACACTTACTTTTATTGAAGATCTGGTGATGATTGATGGGATGGGAGGAGGGGAGAGCATTATCTTCTTACTGTTTAGAAGGGGAATCCCCTTCCATTAGGACTTGAGGTAGCAAGTCCTTTTCCGGGGTTACTTCCCTTCTTCTTTTAATGCCACTAGGACCAGCTTGAGAGTCACTGGACCTCTGTCGCACAACAAATCTGTCCATAGAGCTCTGTACCTCCCGTTCCTTTACGATTTGTCTAAAATGGGCCACAACATTGTCATTGAAATAGTCACCAGCACGGCTTGCAACAGCTGTGTCAGGGTGATTTTCATCCATAAAGGTTTGCAGTTCAACCCACTGTGCACACATTTCCTTAATCTTTGAAGTAGGCACAATGGATTCCACAACTGGCATAGGCTTCTCAGGGTTAGCCCCAAACCCTTCAAAATCTTTCTTAATTTCCATACTAATTCTCACCCTTTTTACCACAGGGTTGGCACTAGAAGCTTTCTTGGGGCCCATGGTCACTTATTTTCCAGAAACACCACCGAAAACACTGTAATAATACGAAATATTCCGAGTGTATGCTTGGATGTTAGCGCAGAGGCTGCCTGGTAAACAATGGCACGGGCGGCACATGTGAGGCTGGGTGAGGGCGCACATTGGACGCGTCTCGGACGAAAATCGGTGAGCGGGTTTTTAATCGGTATGCGCGGCAAAAATTTTGCGATTAAAGTAAGCGGTATGCGAAATAATCGCTATGTGATGCCATCGTTATGCGGGGGTCCACTGTAGGCCCACATATGAGAGAATAGGTCTGTGTGGTCTGTGTGCACTGTATAAAAAAAAACCTTCAGCACGCAGTGCACAAAGAGAAAAAAAAAATCTGACCGTGGTTTTGGATTAAAACGCCGACTCTGAAGTGTATTTTTGTATGGTATTTATGGTTGTATTCTCGTTTTCTTGGTCTCATTTGATAGAACGGAAAACATATTACAGAAATAAAGATGATTTTGATTAGGCTTCACAATAAAAACGACCTAGAAATTGAGCTCAAAGTAGCGGAAATGTTCGATTTTTACCAATGTTCGAGAGTAAGCAAATCACACCACACATCCAATACACATCAACTGGGGAATCTAGTATTCTTTCACTAGTGCACTGATATTATTTATACCATTTTTACAATAATGCAGTAGTCTGCATAACAGTAAATCTTTTATTGTTTGTGTGAATAAAAGATCAAAATAGAAAGCAAGAGAAATATAAGAGGGGCCTGGAGACGTGACTAGTGAACATAGGATATCTTATTTTAGTGCCAAGAATGTCTGCATTGTTTATTCTGGACTTTATTTTGAAATTGGCAATTTTTAAATTGCGTGAAATTGGCCAAATTGCCAAATTCTGACCACTTTATTGGGTAGTTGAAATTGGTAAATGGGCAGATTCTTGTACTCAATTGATAGAATAAATGGAGTTCTAAAGAAATAGCTATGAGTTTGGTCAACTGGAACAATGGAAATGGCCAAAAATAGGGCTCAAAGTCGGCGAAATCGCCGATGTATATATATCGCCGTGATTGCTAACTATACGGGAGCGTAATTCCATAAGTTTTCGATCAAATTTCGTACTTTTGGTGTCATTAGCATCGAGAAAAGATTCATCATTTCTTAAGAAAAAATTTTTTTTTTCCAAAAAAATTTTGCAACACAGAATGACAATTTCAGAAATGGGCCTGTGACAGTCAAAAGGTTAATGACTCTCAAACAGAGCACTACAGTAAGCTTAATGACCCTTCTCAAGTAAGCACTACAGTAGGCTTTAATTAATGACCCATCTTAAACAGAACACTACAGAAGGCTTAATGATCCTTCTCAAATAGAAAACTAGAGTAGGCTTAACCCTTTCACTGTCGAGACCCCTGCTCGCAAACTTGCTCTCTGTGTCGAAAAATTAAAAAAAAAAAAAATATATATATATTTCTTATGAAATGATAGAGAAACTTTTCCCAATGGTAATGAAACCAAAAGTATGAAATTTAATGGAAAACTTACGGACTCTCACTCTCACAAAGTTAGCTGTCTCGTCGATACTTAAGCATCAGCAATTTCGCCCACTTTGAGCCCTACTTTAAGCAAATTCCATTGATCCAGTCGACCAAACTCACAGTTATTTCACTAGAACTCCTTTTGTCCTATCGACTGAGAACAAGAAACTCCCCATTTACTTATTTCATCTACCCAATAAAGTGATCAAAAATTGGTAATTTGGCTAATTTCATGCAAAATTCAAGGAAGGCCATTTTCAAAATAGGTTCAGAATTAACAAACATTCCTAGCACTAAAATAACATTTTCTCTGTTCATTACTCATGTCTCCAGGCCCCTCTTATATTACGCTTTCTATCCATTTTGAATTTTTATTCACACAAAAATAGAAGATTTACTGTTATGCAGATTACTGCAGTATTGTAAAAATGGTATAAATTAAACCAGCACATCTGCGAAAGCATATTAGACCCACCAGCTGACGTGTATTAGACGCGTAATGTGATTGGTTCAAAGTAGCAAAAATCGAACATTTCTGCTACTTTGAGCTCAATTTCAAGGTACATTTATTTAGTAAACCACCCAAAATATCTCTATTTCTGTAATATATCTTCCAATCTATCAAATGAGACCAAGAAAACAAGAATACAACCATAATTACCATTTGAAAATACACTGCAAAGTCGCTGTTTTAAACCAAAAACACACTACAGTTTTTCTCATGCACTGCGTGCTGCAGGATTTTTTTATACTACGCACACTGACCACTCAGACCCATTCCCCCATATGTAAGCCTACCAGATATCTCCTGCAAGATTGGAAGCTGCTAGAATTTTGGCATATTATTATGGGACCAACACTGGCTTGCAAGCTGTAATAATACAGTACCAACAGTGAAAGGGTTAATGATCCTCCTCAATTAGTACACTACAGTAGGCTTAATGATCGTCCTCAAATCCAATCCTTATCACTTGTATATTTGCCCATCCTATTTTTAAGCTACCAAACTCACCGAATCAAAAAATTTGGGTAGATTTAAAAATAGCATAGAAAACTGTATGAGTGGGAGGGTTGACTGGTGAGTGGTGATACACAGCCTCCCCTAACATCAGTGGTTCCACATTGGTATGAAGGGAAACTTTGCTTCAGCACAGTGACTGCAAGACCACCAATGGTTACTGTACATCCACAGAAATGTGACTAGAAACTTAAGTGCATGATGCACATTTTAACTGTCTTTTGCTGAATTGGAGATATCAGGGATCACATTATCCAAGGGTTAACCGTATCTATTATTGCTAGATGAACAGGGGCAGCAGGTTTCAACAAACATGTCTTTACATCCTACCTTCCTCTGGACTAAAGCTGAGTCCATTAGTAGTTACAACTTTGAATATACCATATACAGTGGAACCCCAGATTTCATACACACCGGATATCATACGTTTCGGATTTAGAACACTTTTTGGGGCGAAATTTTGCTCCGGATTTCATACCTCCACCCAGAAATCATATGTATCAGATGCTTCCACCCACCCGGGACGCATGCCTATGTGTCTCAGTCTGGCTCTGTCACTGGTTGAGTGAGCATTACTTCATGTGTTCCTCCGAAACATTTCGTAATAATCCATTTTTTTTTGTGCTTAACTATTGAATGCGACTGCGAAGTAAGCCACCATGGGCCCAAAGAAGTTCCTAGTGCCAGCCCTGTGGTAAAGAAGGTGAGAAACATGACAGAATTCAAGAAAGAGATTGTAGAAAAATACGAAAGTGGCATACGTTTATCTCAGCTTGCCAGGATGTATGGGAAGTCAAAATCAACAATCAGTTCCATCCTGGCAAAGAAAGTAGAAACCAAGGAAGCTAAAGTTGTGAAAGGGGTAAATAGAGTAACGAAACAGAAATCACAAACAATCGAAGATGTGGAGAAGTTGTTGTTGGTGTTGATCAACCAAAAACGGAGAAGGCTTGGATAACTGAAGTCCTTATGGAGGGGGTTTCCCCTTCCAAACAATAAGCTCTCCTCTCTCCTCTCCTCACTTTCTTCCATACGCCAACAAGAGTCAAAGGTACGTAATAGTGATTTAAATGTTCATTTATCCATTTCATTAGGGCTTTATATTTTTCTCTCATTGTTTTCTGTGAATAAAACTATAGTTATTCTTTAAAAAAAATTATTTTTTGCTAATATTTTTGGGTGTCTGGAATGGATTAATTGTATTTACATTATTTCTTATAAGAAATATTACTTCAGTTTTCGTACGTTTCAGATTTAGACCGACCTGCTGGAACGAATTAAGTATGAAATCCGGGGTTCTACTGTATAAGCATTTCCTTAAAGGGTTAAAAATTTATAAGTATTTTCATTGATAAATTTTATCGTAAGTATTAAAAGAACAGAAATTCTGAACCTACCTCTTAAAAGAAACATAAATCATTTTATTTTGCAAGCAGGTACCTGAGAGTAACAAGGATGGGTAGAGGTACTTTACTCCCCAGGTGTAAACTCTGTAATAATGAATGTCTTTATCAAGCATACCTACATGCATACATTTTTTACATATAAACATACAAGCTCACACCATTAAACATACAAATTTTTCCAAACACAACCAATATCTACACACAACTAATATACTGCCACGGAAGTTTAAAGATACAGTAACTATATACAAATTATAACTAACTTCACTGAGCGACTAAACAAGTAGCAAACTAATTGGGCAGCAACAGCAGCAAAAGAAGAGGCTGCTGCAGGCAAAGTGCATCACTCACTTGACTGAGCTTGCGTGAGAGGTCGTTGGTAAGACATTCTTCCTCCTGTTCATAATTCAATGCCAGAGTTTCCTTCTCCTTCTTCAGTGCTTGGATCTTCTTTAAGAGAGTATTGCTGATGAACTCCTCCTCCTGCTCTGCTCTGGCTTGCTGTATATGTACAAATACTTTATCAATACACAGTCAACTTTATTTCCAGGGTACCATAAAATGTTAATCATCACTATCATAATACTGTTTAAGGAAAAGCCCAGAGCTTTGCAGTGCATTTTAGACAGACTTAAGATTAAACACACATTATAATAACTTATAAAACAGATAAATTACAGTAGCACAGCCATGGGGAGCTACTGGGGGACAAAAGCCCCCTCTACTAGATGCAAATACATTTTATATATTTTCCAGTTACAGGTCTCCCTACATATTCGTGAGGGCTAGGGGATCAAGAACCTCACGAATGGTGAAAAATTCCAAATGTTTGGTGCACAAATATATTAAAGGGAAATATAATAATAGCATTTACTTAGCCTAACAATACTGCTTCAGCGGCAGCGGCAGCAACAGCAGCGACCTTCAAACTCCGTACTTTTCTCCAACTATCAGAGCCACCAGTGCTCCTATGATGACCTAGTTACAAGCAAAACTGCACTACCCAACGTAGCACCCAGAATGACCAAAGATTACCAACAGTGTAACCTACAAATTGAAAATAATAGAGATCAAAGGAAGACTGCCCTCAAACCCAAAGCAACACCCCACTGCCAGCTGAAAAATGTAACCCTAAGCTTTGTATAACTACAACTTCTTCTTAACTACAAAAATTCCTGTAGTATTATGAGGCGCAATCTCAGAGGAAACAGCACCAAGGCCAGCAAGAAAACACAGAAAAATCAACTATTCAACAAGTGTAGCCAGGAGGACGTCGGCCCAGCTACCACCCCTCTCACCACCGCTCAAGGCGACACCACAACAATAACAACAAACATGGCTGCCACCAGCCCATCCTCCCCTCTCTTCCCTGGATTCAACCTACCAAGTAGTCTCTCAGGTATGACCAACGATCCAGATACCCTAAAGTCATGCATCTCCACCTTAGTTATTGAAAATATGAATCTTCGAGAGACGTTAACAAAACAAGACACCAGGATGACACAACTCGACAACAAAATCCTCAGTCTTGAACAAAAGTTATCAACACCAGGAATGACTAACTATGGCAAGACCATCCAGTCATAGATAGCCATACAGAACAAATAATATCTCTTAATACAAAGGTTGAAGAAGCAGTAAAAGAATGGAAGAACAACTTAGATAACCAGTTCAGTGACTACTTTGCTCTCCAAGAAGATAAAACTGAACAAGATAAACTATCGGACGCAGTAATAGTTAACAGTCCACTTTTTCCCAGTGATATGAACCAAACAAACAGTAAAGAAATTACTCTCCAGATCATAAAGGACCAAACAAAAGTTACAGTACCAGAGTCAGAAATAAAGGAAGCCAGGTTACTAGGATCCCATGGTAGAAAAAGTGTTATGCTTAGATTCCACTCACATGACAGGAAAAAAGACTTAATAATTCCATCTATTAAAGTAAAGAAAGAGGTACACATAAACGAGTGTCTTACCAAAAAACGTCAGAACCTCGTGTATAGAGTCAAAAAACTTAAGTGGGAGAATAATGACACAATACACCAATGCTTCACACGGGATGGGAAAATTCTAGTTAGGAAAACAAATGTAAGTCAACTGTACACAATCACGAACGAGAATGATCTATCACGATTTCTCAGGGATACTAATCTTACAGAGAATAACTAAACAATGTCCAACCTAAAAGCCTATGTAGTGTAGTGTATGTTTTGCTCCATTATTGTTCAAATTTCATAGTACAATCTCTTAGTAATTAAATGATCAACTACCTCATTTTGTGATTTTACTAGTAAGCATAAGTCACCTTATGTAATTTTCTTATTTACTATTGTTTAAATAACAAAAAAAGGCACAATACCGTGACTGGAACGATACACAAATAACCCGCACATAAAAGAGAGAAGCTTACGACGACGTTTCGGTCCGACTTGGACCATTTACAAAGTCACACTAATCAGAAGTGGAGCAGGATGGCTATATATAGGCAGGAAGGGGAGGTGGTGGTAGTGGTAGTAGTAGTGGTAGTAGTAGTGGTAGTAGTAGTGGTAGTAGTAGTGGGGAATAAGGAGGAGGAGCCAGTCAAATACAAAGAAAGGGGAGCACTGCAAGGGAGCTAGGTGCCCACAGAGGGAGAGCAAGTGCACAGAGATGGATGAAAGGGGAAGTGGTGAAATAAATAAAGAAGGAACAGAAACACGAGATAGAAGGAAGAAAGACAACCCAGAGGAGAAAAAGGAAAGAGGAAAGGGGAAGAGGGAGAAGAAGAAAAAGAAAAAGAAAAAGAAAAAATGAGGAGTCAGGTTAAGTCACGGGTGTTCTGAAGTTTGGAGCAGGAGAGGAGAGGAAGGCATCTACAGAGACGAAGCCAGGGCTAAGATTCATACAAGGAAAGTTGTGTATTAAAGAGGATTCAACTAGACGGCGACTGTTCGAGTTGGAAGTAGGGAAGACAGTTTTAGCAGAAGACCAGTCAATAGGATGGCTATGATCTCTGACGTGACAGAAAAAGAGCATTGTTAGTGTCGGCAAGCCTAACACCAACTTGCCCTTTCTTCTCTTAAATCTAACACTAACATTGTCATACTATCTTCTGACAAAGGTAATTCGGTAGTTATCCTTGATCGCGAGGATTACCTCCGTAAAGCTGATGTCTTGCTCTCTGACTCACGTACCTACACTCCTCTCGTTTCCAACCCTCTTGATCGCATCAAGAGAACTTTCAACAAGAAACTAAGGACTCTCTCCAACCTCTGTCCTCCTGACTTTGACCTTGTTCAACGGTTTCGTGTCATCTGTCCCTCTCTTCCCTATTTCTATGGCCTTCCCAAAACTCATAAACCTGATATTCCTCTTTGTCCTATCATATCCTCTAGAGGTTCTGTCTCTTCTTCTCTTGCTTCTTGGTTGACCAAAACCCTCACTCCCTTTCTTGGTACTTTTTCTCCTGCCCACCTCCGTCACTCTCAAGACTTCATTGAACGGGTTCGCTCTCTCCCAACCTGTAAGATGCTTAGTCTTGACGTTGAGTTCCTCTTCACTAATGTCCCTCTTGACGATGTCCTTGATTTCCTTAGAGAGAAGGCCCATGAAGGGTTTCTACATCTCCCTATACCTACTGATATCTTTCTTGATCTTATCCGCCTGTGTGTGGACTCTAATTCCTTTTCCTTCCAAGGGAAATATTATTCTCAAACCTTCGGTGTCGCTATGGGCTCTCCTCTCTCTCCTGTCCTTGCTAATCTTTCATGGAATACTTCGAGACTTTTCTTCTTCCTACCATCGATGTGCAACCTTCACTCTGGCTCCGCTATGTGGATGACATCTTTGCTCTGTGGCCTCATGACTCCAGTCTCTTCCAACCTTTTCTTGAAGCTGTTAATAATCTTGCCCCTTCCATTAAGTTTAAAGCTGAATGGGAATCTAATTCCTTGCTTCCTTTCCTTGATGTCCATGTCCACCGCTCAGATACAGGTTTTTCCTTTTCCGTTTACCGAAAACTATGCACAGTGGCATGTCCATTCACTACTTTTCCTATCATGCTTCCCCTGTCAAGAAAAGTGTTCTTATCTCCCTCTTTCTCTGTGCCCTCCGCATCTGTGATCCTCAGTTCCTTCCAGCAGAAATTTCCACTCTTCATAATTCGTTTTCCAGTCTTGGCTACCCTTCCCATTTCATAGACTCTGCCCTCTCACGTGCTAAACGTAATTTCTTCTCTCCCAAACTCTCTACTCCTGGGAAAGCTTCTGTCCTCTGCCTTCCCTACATTTCCGGTCTTTCTAATCTCAACAATTCTCTCCGTCCCTTAGACATCAAGCTTACCTTCCGCCAGACTAACACCCTTCACACTAATCTCGTTCATACCTCTCCTCCCTCTACAGATGTTCCTGGTGTCTACTCTATTTCTTGCTCCTCCTGCCCTCTTCAGTATTTCGGAGAAACTAGTCGATCTCTTTCTGACAGACTTAGGGAGCACAAAAATAGTGTTAGGCTTGCCGACACTAACAATGCTCTTTTCTGTCACGTCAGAGATCATAGCCATCCTATTGACTGGTCTTCTGCTAAAACTGTCTTCCCTACTTCCAACTCGAACAGTTGCCGTCTAGTTGAATCCTCTTTAACCCTTTGAGGGTTTTCGTCGTACTAGTACGTCTTACGCGTAGGGGTTTTTGACGTACTAGTACTCATAAATTCTAGCGACCTCAAATCTAGTGGGAGAAAGCTGGTAGGCCTTCATATGAAAGAATGGGTCTATGTGGTCAGTGTGCACAGTCTAAAAAAAATCCTGCAGCACACGGTGCATAATGAGAAAAAAAAAAACTTTTTCCATTTTTTTTTAATAAATCAGCGACTTTGCAGTGTATTTTCGTATAGTATTTATTGTTGTATTCTAGTTTTCTTGGTCTCATTTTATAGAATGGAAGACATATTACTGAAATTGAGATGATTTTGACTGGTTTTACAATGAAAGGTGCCTTGAAATTGAGCTCAAAGTAGCAGAAATGTTCGATTTTTACCAAACTTCAAAAGTAAACAAATCGTGCCAAGCGTGCAATACACGTCAACTGGTGAGTCTAATATTCTTTCACAAGTGCACCAATAATATTTATACCATTTTTTACACTAATGCAGTAGTCTGCATAACAGTAAATCTTATATTTTTTGTGAGAATAAAAATTCAAAGTGGAAAGCAAAAGAATATAAGAGGGGCCTTGACACGTGACTAATGACTAGAGGAAATGTCATTTTAGTGCCAGGAATGTCTTTCTTGTTTATTCTGGACCTATTCGGAAATTGGCATCTTTTGAAATTTGTGTGAAATTGGCAAAATTGCTAAATTCTGACCACTGTACTGGATAGTTGAATTTATAAATGGGTGGTTTCTTGCACCCATTCGATAGAAAAAAATGGAGTTCTAGCGAAATATTCATGTTTTTTGTCGACTAGTACAGTGAAATTGGCCGAAAATGGGGCTCAAAGTGGGCAAAATCGCCGATCCGT